GGCCCCCCCCCCCCCTCCCTCCTTTCTCTTTCTTCAAATAACCTGACCACAAACTAAGCTTTCAACAATGCAGAAGAGAAGAACAGCTTTAATTCTCTTTTGTAAAGCTTACTCCGTGGACAGGGATTCTCTTTGTCCCCATTTCCTCATTTGCTTCACCCTTCTCTACTTTTCGATTATGTTTCATGTGTGTCTCATATGTCATATCAAATGATCAATGTACCTTTTAATTTTAGAAAAATTGTGTGGGTAAAATATTTTTGATTTATATTTTGAAATTTGAAACGTTAATTAAAATTTGGTTTAAAATATCTAGTTTGTGTTAGGAAATTCATACGAAATTCCCAAAAATACACGTCAAAGAAAAATAATCACACGCACAAGACAATATTTACGTGGTTCGACAATTTATCTATGTCCGCGAAGCTGCAGGAATTTCACTATTTTCAAGAACAATTACAGAGAGGGCGACAACCGTACATAATCAAATCAACCATAATCACTCAAAAGAAATAAGTTTTATATGATTTGTACCGGACTACAAACAAACAGGCTCCATGGACTAAACCTCAGAAAATTTTTCATTAAAAATCACGTAACATTTTTCGTTTCGGGTCGGGTCGGATCATCATCCGAATCACACATAAAAATCTAGACTCCACAAAAAAAGCCCAATAGTTTGTGGTTTCAAATTTAAAACATTTTGTTTGAAGTGTCTCTGTTCAAATTAACGTAGAAATTTGTTTCCAATATCTATATAGATATTTTTGTACAAACAACAAAAATTGTTATTCAACCATTATATGTTTTGTGCCCAAAAATAAAATGATAGTAAAGAGTGACATCAGAAAAAACACAATAAAAAATAGAATATACCAAAGAGTTACGTCAAGGGATGACTACAAATAATGACATTAGAATCAACACAATTCAAAATAGAGTGATAACAAAGAGCGACATCAAAGGATGACTACAAAGAGTGACGTCGTAAAACAAAACAATCCAAAATTAAAATTAGCATTAAATACATAAAATGTGCTATATAGTGTAACTATAAAGAGTGACATAAAAAATTAGCACAATAATTAAATTGTGTTTCAAATGGAGAGACAATACCGTAAGTTACATGTCAGAAATTTTGGAATCCTCTTTGTCTTGGACCATTTTCCCTTCTTTGGTTGGATTACATTCTCGGCTAGAGCAAAATTTACAGAATGGATGCATTCTACCAAAAGCTACGCAAGAGGACTTCATCATCATCATGCTTCAACTGAAAAGAAGATTAATTATGTTCCATGGATATCCCTTCCGATTGCCGTTGAAAGTTGAAAATACTAAAGAAAGTCGGATGTTATTTCGAGGTTAGATTTGTAATACTTTTAAAGTACCATATCAGAAATTTTATCGTTGAAGGTAAAAATTAAAATAAGGATAATAATTTAGGAAATAAAGTGTAATTTACTCGTCATGCAAACCGGAATTGAATTTTTACACAAAATGTTTTCCTTAATTGACTTCCAGCCTAATAAGTCATATAATATGTGCCGACTTCCAAAATTTTCCCTCTCTTTTTCCCAAAGGATAGACATATATTGCTTGGTGAAGAAACACGATCGTAGATACTCGCATCGTCGTAAGATCCAGGATTTGCACAATTACTAATGGGATGGGTTTATGACTTACATTTCTTAATTAAGTATGAGTAATATTTTTTAGATCTAAAAATTTTATTTAATTTAATAATATAATTTTATTAAACTATTAAATTAAATATCAAATTTCAATGTTTGGCGGCGTCACGTGAGGTTTGTCTCTTGAGTAACTGTCCAATGGACGTCCCAATTGCATAAAAGAAGGCTATGTGAATGACCTAGTGAGATGCGAATCTCCTTTTTTACGAAGAGCGGGCCTTCCCATCCTTTTGTTGGGCCGTATAATCGTCCATGACTTAAAGTCGGCCGAATGCTAATGGATTACAGAGGCCCATCAGCCAATGACCCAACATACACCACGTGAGGTTTGTCCTTTGAGTGTCTAGTAGATGTCCCAAGAGCCCAAAGGCCTATAAGTTGATGGCCAAAAAAAATCACTAGATGTTGGGCCGGAGAATGGAGAACTGTCCCTCCCCGGGACTTCCCTTAGAGCCCAAGCGAAGTTTACGAGTACACTAGCTTTTGAAATTCGAAAGTTTTTGTAGGGGCGATAATTTTTGACCCAATACGACAGTTCAATTCGATCTCGACATGAATTTACTGGATTAGTCATTTCTTAACATCAACTCGCTAATGACACAAATCGTTAATACGAATAATAAATAAATTAGATTAATGTCAAATATGAATAATACATAATTGATACGATTAACACGCTTAACTAGTATCATAGAAAAAATGTTATTTATTTATTGACATAATTATTGTACAAAAATATATATTTTTATTCATTATTATTATTATTATTATTATATGTTTATAAATTAAATTTTAGTTTACAAAAAAATATGAGTATGGATGTAATTAAGTGATATTAGAATTTTAGACTTAAATCTTAATATTAAATTATTTATTTAAAATTTATATGAGTCAACACAAATTTCACAAGAAAATAAAAATGTCAATCGACACGATATGATTAATTAAACGGATTGACTAAAGATTGACTAGTGCTCATGAACTCAACACGACACGACATAACACAATATGATTGACATTTTTAATTTTTTTTTCTTTTAAATCAGAAAATCAGGAGTTGACTTTCAAAAAAATGGAAGCGGTTTTTGAACGGTTAGGATGATTCAGCACCAGTAAGTTAGAGAAAAAAAATATATTCAACGAAATCTGGACCTAATCTCATTCACGAGAAAATATTCATTATAACGGTGATACCACGTGGTAATATGATATGGTATCACTAACCAATATTAATAAAACAAATAAACAGATGTACTTCATAAAATTCAATAACTAACCTGTCATGTAAGCAAATAACTCTCCACTCTTCTATTATATAAGCTTAAGTGGGATTCACTTTTTTTATTTGAGATTTTATTATTGATTGATGATATCATATCATCAATGATGACATAGTATTACCGTTACATTCGATATTTACTCCTCATTCACATCTATAGTAGTAGTGTGAGTTTCATTCTCTCTCTCTCTCTTTGATTGACATTTGACATGCCTAAAATGTGCACACACAAAAAAACAAAAAAAGGAAGAACCTACGAAAGAGTGTCCAAAATTTCCAAGATGATGTTGATTGATTTCTGATCAAGTCCACTAGAACTTGAGAGTCCGTTTCGATAATCAAAGGATAGACCCCCAATCCATAATCCTTTACAAGCAGTAGACCATCCAGTAATGCTAAGATTTCAGCTTCCATAT